GTTGATGATTTTCAAAGAAAAAGATCGATTCGACACAGGCGAGACTTGAAGATTTTGATGCATGAACACAAGCTTTTTTTGTTAATTTTCTTGAATTTGTTGTCATTTTCTCTCCCCTGTTATCTCAGTGTTGAATAAAAGATTTCTTGACTTCCTCCTTTTTTTAAATGCTCTAAATATCGAAAAATCGAGAAAACTCTCAAAAAATGCCTGATTTGCTGAAAAAGAGCGAGAAAAAACAAAAAATTTAAAAAAAAACGCAACTCGTAGTCATATTTGCGAGGCCGGCCTCGGCCGGCCGAGGCCTCGCGAGGCTTTTTCTCAATGAAGCGAACTTGCGACGGCCTCGGCCGCATAAAATTGCGCGAGGCCTTCGGCCGGCCGAGGCCGGCCTTTTGGACAGCCCTGCAAAAAACATTTGAAGCTTAATGAAACCAATAAAACGCTATTTTTCCTCACCTTTCCTTCTACTCTGCTATTTCTGTCATCTGGCTCCTACCAATCTTGGAATCTACTCCCGAATATGTCTCGACGTCCTCGAAGTTCCCGACAACCAACCTTAAACTTAAATGTTGAAATTATCGCTAATTCAAAAAATAAAAGTTTTCATCTCCTCACCTTTTACTCTATTCTGCTATACCTGCCATCCCGATTCAAATCCTACCAATCCTGGAACATGCCACTGCTCTCGACGTACTGGATGTTGAAGAGTCCCGAAAACCAAGGCTGTGCAAAAAGGCGGCTGGCCGCGGCTTGATTTTTGAGGCCGAGGCCGGCCGCGGATAGTCTCATGAAAACGCTTGAAGTGAAAATCATTGTTTTTGAATAATTTCGTTTTTTGTCCTACTTTTCAAAAAAATCTACGTTTCTAATGAAACAATTATTTAAAAAGGCCGTGAAAAGCCGCACGGCTAGCCTGGGCCGGCCGCGGCCAATAAAAGTTTTCATCTCCTCACCTTTTACTCTATTCTGCTATAGAAAAAATATTATTCGAATATTTTTTCTGAAGCCGCGGCCGGCCGTGGCACAGCCTTGCCGAAAACCAAGACGCCTGCAAATCCACAGAATGGGGCTCTCGTGGATTTACGAGGGCATAAAACCAAGGAGCCTGTAACTTGAACGTTGCAGATTGAGTACTGATTTCTCTTCTTTTTTTCGAATCCTTCAATTTTCCAGTATAGAAAAGGGTGATCACGGGAAAAATAAAATTAGGATTTTTTTCAGAAGGGGTGTTTTGGGGTCATGCAAGGTAACAAAAATTGATTCGATTTTTCCTAGTTTCGGGTCATCACCCAAATTTTCATATTCCGTATACCAATTGGAATTAAAGGAGAAATGCAACACAAAAGGCAGGAGAGAAAAAAAATCAATGAGCATATAGGTATCTTTTTGGTCCATTCGAAAATACATGAAAAAGGAGGAAATACAGAAGAAATGTCAAGAGAGTGTCAAGAGAGCTGAAGATCTGTTATTGAAGACTTATTTATGCGTTGAAACGGGTTCCAAACAGCTTTCTATTTGAATAACTCAATTCCGCATTGATTCGAGCAAGATCCAACTCCTCATTTTTGTAGTTAGCTCTGAAATTTATTTATAAAATTTACCAGATTGGAATAATGAAGCTCACCGGTGGAAACCAAGGATATTAGATCCACGCTCACTCATGTCTCCGGCCATATACAATGGCACTGGATGGCTGATCGGGGAATATATAATCTGATGATTATAGCACAATGCATAGGTGAACGCCTGAAAATATAATACTATTGAAAAATCAAGACCTCTTGGAATTCTTACCTCGAGCGTTGATAAGGTCCATTTTTTGGATGTGTTGAATACGACCGTATATTTTGAAGTTTTCACGGTTCCCTGTCTAGCAACTGCTCCAGCCATGTACCATTCCGAGAGGACTGGGTTGACAATGATTTTGTCAACGACAGTTCCAGCCACAATGTTCGTAGTACCAGTCAGAAAATTATCCGTGTAAAATTGGTCTCATATAGTATTTGAATACCGTTCCTTCCAGATATCGCCGTGTGTTATGAATCTTGGAAACGGCAACGATGGTGATGGCTGGTACAAAACTGATTGGTTTTCCACCCGAAACGGCCGCAAACCATCCCTCTCTGATCAGATTCGAGTACCTCTCGTTGATCAGTGAATATTGACCTTCAGTAATTCCACTGAGAAAAAAGAACAATTCCTGCGGTTTGTTTTGGACACGGCAAGGATGTGTGCAAGTCTGCTTGATGACGTCACGAACAATATCTTTCAGGACAGACCCATAGATCTGAAAAATGCAAGATCTACTTTCTCGATTGAATTCAATCCAAAAATAACTCACATCGTTACTTCTCTGGGTGAACATGTAGCCACCGCAAAATTGAGTTTCCTTCGCCATCATATTGGCACTGAATCCAACACAAATGAGACCCTAAATCTAGTCATGGAACAACTGAAAAAACTGAAGATTGTTACTCACATCCCCCATTGTGGAATTCTGGGATGTTTCCAATCCAATTATTATTCTATCCTTGGTGAAGGTTGGGCTTTCGACTTCATAATTGATGCCTCCCAGTTTCACATTGATCTGAAATTTTGAGAATTAAAAAAAAAACGTTCATTCTGTAATGTTATTACTTTATTAACGAGATTCCTTCTCGTATTTTGCTGCCTTTCAAACTTCAAAGCCGTTTCGAATCGAATGTCCTGTGTTCGAATATCAAACTCGTGCTCCAAAACTTTGATCTCCTTATGATATTCCCGATTCGATTTGGTGATGAACATGAGGAGTTCCACATTTCTCTTCTTAGCGTTGTCGAAGATTGTCTGAAAAGGAGAAAAATGTGTAATCAGGCTTACCATAACTATCGCTTACCCGCAGATCATTGTTCTTGATGAAGACAAAGTTGGGAGCATTGACCTTCATTCCCATTTGTGTCATTGTGCCAATAAGATGATGAACGGCGCTTCTATAAAAAATATTTGAAATTGTGAAAATTGAACAGGAAGAAGAACCAAAAAACCAATCAACTCTAACTTACTCCAACGGCTCGCTTTCATGGAATACGACGTCCCACGTGCTTAGTGATTTTCCATCAGAGAAATGTTGAATCGAGAAATCCGTTGACGGTCCTTCTGGTTTTGTATTCCAGAAACAGCTCTTCTTCTCGTTAGGCTTGATTCCGCCACCCAGAATGACTGGTTTTGGTAGAACCCGTCCTTCGACCACTTCTGGGGGAGACAGCGTGAAGAAATGCCCATCTCCATTGCCCAGACCAATCGAGTCAGCAACCTGGTTGGTGATTTTTTTCCTGTCCTGAGGTTTAGAGGCTGACATCTGAAATTTCTTTTCTATTACTTGAAATCACTCTGTGCGTAATCTACCAACCTTTATTAGGTCAGCTTGTACTTTCGCCTCCATCTGTTGTGTTTTGACTATCTGCTTATCACAGAAAGTCAACAATTCAACAGGAATCAATCGCCCTCCTCTTGCTCCCATTACCACTACGGTGAAGAGGTCCGGAAATTTGAGAATCTTCTCGTATCTTCCTTTGAAGTAGTCAAAAACTGACGACACTTTACCATCCGATTTTTCGAACTTTTGGTTCCTCGCTGTTTCTCCAAACGAATGGATTTTTACCATTTTTCGGTCGTTTTCTAATCCTTCCGAGCTACCGTAATCCAAATAACAACATAGGCCTGAAAATTCGATGTTCCTTAAAAATGTGTTTCATTGAAATATTTACCTTTGTAGTTTTGAATATGTTCACGAGCCCACCCGGAAGTAGCTGTCAGGTTTGTAGCGAATCCTCGGATTTCACGGAAAACATTTAGCAGCGGAGCGTGATTGGGGTGGAAAAGTGTGGTTTTCACTGAAAAAGTTTCATATTGATCAATTAAATTTCCAGACGTATACTTACACTCAGTGATGAGATATGCAGTTGGGGTCGGGTTTTTTCCTTGGAGAACTCGAACTGCTTTTGTTGCTCCAACCGAGGAAGCTTGCATTCCTTGTCCTCTGACTTCCCCAATGGCAATGTTCCTGTCGGGATGCGACAAGTAGTGAATACAATTGTTTTTAGTAAAGACGTTCGGACTGCAAAGCAAAATGAAATTTATTCAAATTTAGACTTTTATTCACTTACTTTTCCAGAGCGTGTCCCGAAGCCATCATATTAAGAGATTCGAGAAGAGTGACATCTGCTCGAGCTGGTCTAATATTCACGGCCTTCCCGATTTCGTTAGATGATGTTTGGAAGGATTCGGCCACATTCGTGATCTTGAACTCAGCTTTCACGAAATTCGGGAATCCTTCAATCTTCTTTCCCGCGATTGTTGTTTCAATGACCTGTAAACAGAGCTTTAAATGAATGAAACCTTTGAACTAAACTCACTTCTTTTTTGAAATCACTCAACGAGTACAACAGAGCTTGCCTGTCATAGAAAAAGAAACCTTTGCTGAGCTCTGGACATTGGTCACAAGCCAAACGGTAGATCGATGAGCATGCTGACTTGTCGTTCTCCTTTTTTGGTCCCTTTTCATGAGAGCTCGAAATCTCTCGGGCGATTTCTCTACCATCCCTCTTGAAGTATGCGATGATTTTAATATCATATTTGAATACAGGCGTATTCTTTTTGAGAACTGCAAAGTTTAACAAAAAGTCCTACTACATAAAAAACACTCACTCATTGCTCTCATGTTGGTGGAAATCTTCACTGTGGTGCCATCTGGCTGGCCGATAGGCAATTTTTCAGCCAAGGGAACATCTCCCATTGGAGCTTGGTTTTCGTTCAACTGCAGAGCGCCTAGCTGCTCTACAACAGCAACGTTTGGCATGACTGAAGAACTGGAAAAGTGTATTGTAGAGAAATTTTTTAAAATGTGTGAAAAGATAAATCGAAGTAGCAGGAAAAGGTGTAGTAGCTGTATCGAAAACAAAACTCGAGGAAAACTTTCACTTTCTGTGAGACAGAAGTAGAGAAACACCTCGTTGTTATTCATAGACGTAATGTATGTTGCGTACACCAACCAATGGTGCAGATGCCAAAGAAAAGAGCAGGGAAAAGAAATAGGGATTAGAGAAAAAACATCTGGGCAGCTGTTCTATTGAGAGTCCGAGGAATGAGATGGCCGTGAGGAGAACATTGATCAAGGTCGTAAGGATGGAGAAAAGAAAGATATGTCGACTGCACAGAGCTTAAGAATGGACCAACGGCTAGGTCAAAAAAGGGGCGGAGTCCATAGATATGTGGTCAGAGATTGTCGATATTTCTCGAGTTCTGGTTTGGAGAGGTCTGGGCGGGGAGACGCATTCAAGCACCCCTGTATTGAAGCCTTGATTGAGTTGAATTTGGTGAGGACAGTTCTTGCTTCCTCCTTGGACTTAAATGCCAGGCGCATAATGGACGGCCCTTTAGCCGGATGAGGTATGCGAAAAACCGATGGCGTCGAAGTACCACAGTCCTTGGCAATTTTAGAGGCGAATTCAGCTTTCTCAATAGCTTCTTCCGAAAGGTCGATATTTTTGATGATCACATTCGATTTCCGTGCATCTTCAGAGTTAGCCAATGAGGCAGCTCGCATGAAAGTGATTTGGGATTCTGGAGCAGAGATGGTTGAGGCGACAGCTGAAGCAAAAGTTTTAATTAGTAGGAGACTCCTCTTTTTTTCTGGAAAACCTCAAACCGTTCCCTCAAGCTAAATCTAACTGCGGTACGGAAAATGTGTATACCATTTCAAGGGGAAAAGATACATAAAAGCTTGACCATGACGAAGAATATAAAATACAGTAATTTGGATTTTTCGACACTGAATCAAGCATGATCCGTATTGGAGAGATTAGGGATAAAACGTCTAGGGATACATGGAACTTGTCATAAAACATTTGTTCACTATCGTTCTATTCGATTTTCAATCTTGTCTGTAGTAAAAAAAACACAGCAAGGCTAGAGAACTAAGAGTGAGCAATGTTGTAATGATTTCTATCTGCGTCTCGGTAATTCATAGATGAACTGTAGTGAGTTGGATTGCATGAAAACAGAGAATCGGCATACACCAAAAATATATAGAATACCAATTACTGTAATTTTTGGCTTCTGGATTAATAATGAAAGTTTTGGATTCGAAGAGGATCCCAGAAACTAACATATGTAAATCATCTCACAGCGAAGTATAGGGGCAAAAAATTCAAACTTCGAGTATTAATGCTAGTCTTTAAGAAATCCCAGAGAATATGTTTTAGTCTAATTTTAGATATATTCATCCATATTGGAGAATGATCTCAATTTGATGGATGACAGAATATGCAACAGTATATTCTATGAATATATTTGTAATGAATGGCTAATACACTCTCCGGCGGGTCAACGTTTGTGCCGACCGCCCAGGCAAACCGTAAGGGTAAAAAGAAGAGGAAGAACTTTTGGACAATACAATCTGTTGCTGTTTTGTAAAGAATTGTTTGTAAACAAAGAAACGTGGTTTGCATGCTAATAGAGAAGAGAAGATAAAGTCTCGCTCGGTACCATTCGGTGCCTCCGATATTTTACAACTATATAACACTACGATAAACCAAATTAAGACGGAGAAGAAGTGGTCAATTGAGCAAGTGATTCATTTTTACAGCAAGAAGAAGTGGAAACAAAGAGGTCTTGTTTGATCTGAAGAAGCAACTACCAGCGAGGGTAAAATTCATCTGGTTCTAAACTGACCGTTTCATGAATCAAATGTGCTAACAACCTAAACAAAATAACCATTGTGTTATAGTTTGAATTAACTTATTTGTTTGGGAAAAACTGTTCAAAAAAGTATTGAGATACCTACGGCCAATAGTTTTTGAAAAAATGGCATTCTTACTTGTTTGTTGTCTGGGTCTCTTACTATCGCAGGATCTATCACACATACTAGTAGAACGTGACAGAGAAAAGAAAAAGAGAGGAAAACATTTTGAAGGAAGAAAAAGAGAGGTGGGTTCGAGGCGGCTGTTGAGAAAAGATAGAAAAATCGGTTGGTCATTTATCTTGCAGGTCCTTGAAAATAGAAAAAAGGGTAGGTAACGGATGAGAAAGACATTTTGATTCAAAATCCGAAGCATTTTGATAAGAGATAAGAGCTCCACTGTAAGCTCGGGGTTTTTCGAAGAATAAAAAAATTGGGACCACAACCGTCCAAAAGGCTTGGTCAGAAATAGCGCCCCAGCGAAAGTGAGATCTTCTTTCTTTTTTAGGTTATCTGAGTATCAAAAGTACAACGATGAGCGAAAAAAGCTCGCTGATAAAAAATATTCAGGTCAAATCCACGTCACCTTTGATAATTATTGAATTTCGTCTGGCCTAAGAGTTATCTGGTACGCGATTTCTGACCGTATCTTCTATGATTGATATAAAAACCACCATAGAAGTCTATAGGATTTAGATGCCGAAAATTTATTACAGGAAAATGCATGTTCATAAAAAGAGGATTAAAATTCTGATAAGAGAAGAACAGTTTATTAATATAATATTAAAATCGTTTTTCTTTCAGTCAAACAAGTTTCCATCCCGATCTGTCATATCTTCATCATCTAGTCTACTCTCGTTCGATGTTCTCTCGATTTCTCTGATGATCAGAAACGGTCTTTTTTCGCTCGAAAAGTGTCAACCATGCTTATCATGTGCTTCCTAGCGCCACGCTCTATCATAAAAATCAATTTACAACCTTTCATTGCGTCCACTGTGGCTCTATTTCTTCTTCTTTTTCTCTCCTTCCCTGTAATGACCACTATTGCAATAACTTCATTATTTCTGCTCTCTATTTTCTTTTTATCTTCTTGTAATCCATTACAAAACACATCAGATGTCATCGAAAAACCGCATAAGCGATTGTATAATCCATTGGTTTGCTATGTAGAAACTGAAGGTACATGGGGAACTTAATTAGAGTAACATCAAAGTTCAGGTCAACTATACGGAGTTGAATACCATGAAAATCAAAGACACGAACCATGTGGTCCCGATGTGAAATACTGTCAGAAGGTCACTGCTCATTTCAGTCAGTTTTTTTTTGATAAACCAGCCATAGAAAAATATTTTCAGTTGCTGCTGGTGGAGAAATTACAAAAATCACAATGAAAGGATGTGACACAGTCTCATTACTACCTCATTTTGCCGGATTAGAGTGCAAGGTATTTTAGAAAATATGTTCAATTTTGATGTTATGTTACAAAACAGCAATAAATTATATCATGATCTCTGCCTTATTTTCAGGGAAACGGTTGTGCTGAACGATCAGAAGGCGATGAAATCTACAATGTCTGTTGCTGTAATTCTGAAACATGCAATTCGAATTTTCATCTATCTCTATTTATCCCTTCCATCTTTTTCCTTATCACCTTTTTCGTTTTTCACTAACCTATGCTCTCCCGTTCCTATAATCATTTTCTATTTACAGTCACATTCCGGACGCAATGTATGATATTTATTGCTCTTTTACAATTGAAAAGTCAGTTTCCAACTGTTTTTCTTCCCAATTATGATTTATTTTGTTTAGTTTGATACGGGGAATCTGTGTACAGTTTCATTTTAAAAAGTAAACATTTACAAAAATAATCGAACTTATTCATCTCATTGATTCCTATCATTCAACGGGATATCCACTTCGTTTGCACGTTCTTCTTGAGCATTTTTTATCACAAGGTATATGCAGACATAAATTGAGCCAATTAGAAAAATCAAGCCTCTGAAAAAATGAAAAATATATAAAATTCTTAAAGTGCAAAAACTAACACAGCAGCATTAATTACAGTTTCAAAGCAGCATTCTGTTCCACAACACCTTTGAAACTTGTAGCATCCAAAAATTATGTCGTTCACTCGTGATCCATCCGGAAATCGAACCTGAATTACAATGAAGATTAACAATTAAAGTGTCAAACTGTTCAACTTTTTCCATTTCTGGATCTCTTCCAGCAGGATAGTAGCACGTTCGATATCCTTTCCAGAACGAGTAAAGCAATCCATACCAGTAATATTTCACTCCCAAAACTTCGAATGACGAATCTTGATCACGAATTGTTAAGATTCCCTCTGCATCTTTCGTAAAAAGTTTTTCTGAATTTTCAGAAGAAAAAATAGTGTCATAAAACGCATCAGTGTGCTCGGTTCGATCGCTGAAAAAACGATACTTGACATAAGACTGATAACGATCAAAAGTTTACTCGGTGTCTGTCAGGAGCCTCATACGCTTCACTCGTTTATGGGATGCATTGGTGTTTACCAACACCAACGAAGAGACGATGAATAGTAAAGTAGTGACCTTCTGATTCATAGAAAAATCAATTTTTGACCAGTAAAAATAGGAGTAAACAGAATGGGAAGTGAGAAATACAAATCAAAGTAGACGCAGACATCCGGCGAATAATTGTAAGAGATACTCTAGCGGAAAGGAGAGAAATGACTCGACCTGATTTTTTTGAATGATTAGAAAACAAATTTTTAGGTATCACAATTTCCATCTTGTTTGATATAACACGAGTAATCAAGAAGTACTATTTCTATAGAAGCTAGCTTCTAGAAATCTTAAGTGCCTATCAAAACTCGAATCTTCCAATTGGTTTCTTTTATATTGGAAGATATCCATCAAATAAATAATTAGAAATTTCCAGATACGAATTTTTGTCCTATTCTTTGTTCTCTACTCATCAAATTCCTATCTGTAATATTATTGAACTGATTTCATATTCATCTAGGTTGTAAAAGGTAAAATGAACTATAAACATGTGCCTGGTACGGTGGATGTGCACTTTCTATTACTGATAACAATATTGATATCCTATTTTTGATGTCCTGACTTGATATTTTATTATCCATAAACAAAAAGTTAAAAATTCACAAAAATATCAACAATTCACCTTTGAAAAGTTGGACCAAATACAACTGGACACCTAAAATGTGATGTTTTCGGAGAAGTTTTAGTGAAAAACGCTTGTTACGGATCCGGCCCGGTCGGCCCAGTACCAAAGATCCCGTATTTTTAAACCAACTTTTTAACAATAATTTTTTGGTCGGGCCTTCAAAAATTGGAAAAAAACCAGGCTAGTTACAATATACTAGTATCCACTTTAGAACACCGATTTAATAAAGGTTTCATTTAAAACGCAAAACAGTTTATTTTTCAAAAAGTGATATATTGATGTGAAATGCTAAGTACGGTGTGAAACAACTAAAAATATACCCAAACAAAGAGAAAGAAGAAAACTATTCAAAGTCCGAAACACTGGTTCAAAGAAAATACGAGCATGTGGAAATGACGTTATAGGAAATAGCATCAAAGGATCTATACGGACAGTAGCATCGGCAGTGACCGTCAAAGTTGTCAAAGAAGTAGCAAGTCTGAAAAATTATACATAAATGATAGGATTTGTGTTACTTCTTAATTCAAGAAGCATCCCATTATTTGGGTACATCATTGACTTACCGTTCCACGAGAGTAACATTCTGTTAGACATGCAGATGGACATCTTCTTGTAGAAACCATTGAAAAAAGACAGAAAATCAGTACAAGTCTTGAAAGCCACATTTTTGTTTGATTGAATCGCACACTACTGAACAGGGGGCAGTCGACTGGGAGAGATAAGACATCGACGAGAACCGAGTACTTTGTCTGGGGCGTGCAATCGAACTTTTTTGCGATCTTTTGTGTTTCGATGCTGCTCGTTTCTCCCGTGTCACTGCTCGGTAATTTATCATTCGAATCCGAAGCTATGGAAGAGCAGCTAATAGCTCGCTGGACTCAGGTAGGATGAATCCGCCGGATGCAGTAATAATAGGTGTTCAGAAACCAGCGTCTGTTTCTTTTCTCAAAAACCAGGTGAACATTCGAATTTCTATTAAAATAAACTTAAACGGCTAATGTGAAAATAATTACTAAATGTCATTTGATCAGTGAGGGATTTCAACGAAAAGCTAAAATTACTTTCTTTTTTGAAAACCTTGCAATATTTTCTTAGACAAAGTACTTTGCGCTGATATTCTTCAAGAATTATCAATCCAATTATCAGCATTATTATTCTAGTCTAGCCATTGATAATAGCGCTCGTTGTGCAAGCCCTCTTGCTGGAAAGGTTAGTTAAATGTGTGATTTTGTGAACTGTATAGCGATAGCACGCACTTGAATCTGAATGTCAGATCATTTTTGTCCGTCGTTGCAGACATTTTGAAAATCGACTCCGTTTTTATCTTTTTTTTTGCAGAAGCAGAAAAAAATAAAATAAAATGAAGAATAAATGAGTTCAAGACAGGAATCGGCTGCAATTAACCTGAGACAGACACATTCAGCAAAGTTTAAACGATAACAAAAAGATTCCGAGAAGCAAACACTGAAGCTGTTTGATACAGTCTGTATTTTTCCGATTTTTCCAACCTATATACCCGTTCGATGCTGGTCGCAAATAAAGTTTCTTCCTGCTTTAATATATTACCACCAATAATATACTGTAGTTCTGAACCGGAACCCTGAATCTGAATTTAAATTCAAAATTTTCTACTTGCTCCTAGCTATGGGTCGGCTCTTCTGAGTTGCATCCGATAATAAAAAAAGCAGCTTTTAAAAATGCTTCACATCGATAGTTTTCACCTAGAAAATTGTGCTTGAAAATTTTCAGAAAAAGGTAAATTTCGAGAAGTTCGGTACTTCGGCCTCGCCATTACCCAGACTCTGACAAACTAGTTTCAACTTTCAACTTCCGACCAACATCTGACCATGGCCCACTATACAGCCGTTCTAGGGCAACTTTCGACCAGAACATGGCCAATACCTGCCCAGAAGCCTTTTTTTGTCTTTCTTCCAATTTAGTCATTCCTACAATAGTTTTATAGCGGAAATTGGAACAGTCAGAAGGGAGTTATTCATTTCTTTAACAACACGGATATGCATTGGTCAGCTGACCAAATTGAAATTGAGATGTATGCATCCTATTTTTTAGACATAACAGTATAGATCTACAGTAATTTTGTTTGCATTCAGGTTTTTTGTTCGTAGAACCTTATTTTTCTCCATGCCATGAAGACTATTGTTTTCCTTTGTCGGTATGTACATTTTTTTGAAACTGATACAAACTTCATCTGTAACCAATACCCCCGTAAGGGAGGATATTTTGTATTGAATCTTTACCAAATTAAAGGTGGGCGGACAGGAGATTTTTCGTAGGATTTTTGTAGCTAGGGTATGCATTCTACCGTGACGGTGTACAATGTCACTCTGCGTACAGCTGTCGTCCTCGCCTTTATGTATGCAATCGGGCGGCAGCATGCAGACATCTTGTTAGGCTCCGTGTGGGAAAGAACTTTTGAATTGAATCATTACTTAACTTTTTATGCTTCACTAGACAATTCTCAACTTTTGAACTGCTCACACAGATCATACTTTGATGGAAAAATTCTTTCATCACATTTAGAAGAAATTTTGCAATTGAAAAGTTTCCATTTATTCGCCGACGAAAAAAAATATACACGGATGAATAAGCCTTTGATCCTACTGCTCCGATGAAATTTTCAATTTTTGCGATCTCTGTCAATCTATTCAAAAAGTTGTTTATGTATTTTGAAGCGATAATAAAAAATAACATTAGAGAAAAACTAAACTCCGCCTATTTTACTAATCCTCAGTTTACAAATCCTCCAGTCATCTATTTTATTACTTCTTGATAGAAAAATGATGATCGCATTTTATCTCACTTTCATTTGAATTGAATTTTTGTAATGAAATTCTGACCCCACCCGATTTTGTACAAATTTAGCCTAACTCTGTTACGTAGTCAACGAATAGACTCGATCACTCACCTGCTTTATTTCCCCACGCACTTGTTGTTTCCAGAAAAAGAATGTCTCGGCTTGTCGAAGGAATTGAATCAGATCAAATGCTCGAGGAGCCACCTTTTGCCGTTTTCTATACGTGCCTCGTATTGATAAGTGATGTCTTTTCAATCTTTTTTATTTTCACCATTATAACTAGATCTACAGCAGATATGAAACTTTATAAATTTGTTTTGTTGAAACTAGCGGTTAGTTTCAAAAACTTGAAAAATGCCGAAACCTTTCTTTTCAGATATGTGATCTATTATTGAATCTATCAACTGCTCTTCTTGTAACCCCAGATCTTTTATGTCCATTACCTGCTGTTGCAGTTCGGAGTCCAATCGGAGGACTCAGTGAGACCCATGCTTTTATTACGGTAACAATGGAACTATAGTTTTGAAACTAATTCCGATGACTCAGATTTCCCTAACAATTGCTATTGCAATCACAGTATTCACTTCTATCAATGATTGCTGTTTTCTAAGAGTTTGCATATTTTACCAATGGAATCACTTTCTGAAAAAGATTTATTCGTGGAGGTATGTAAGGAACATTATAAACACCAATTCTTGAATTTCATGTTTCAGAGGAGCACTTTTCTTGATTCTGATCAATGGAACTACTGTTGGCGTCATAGTTTTGGCACTCTGGTTGGCTAAACGCACTAATCAGGTTAGCATTTTTAGAAACGAAATCTGAAATCTGACTGTTAAAGTTAGATTCCCCAGATTTAAAAGCCTTCTTTATGATGTTTTTTTTCAATTTCGACTCAGTTCCTGTTCTCTGTTCTTAAATTATTCGGCCCGAATCATATTTTAATTGTTTTCCATCACATATTCATATTATGACACATTTCTTTTATTGTTTTCATTGCTACTAACTGTTCTTTACTTTTTTCTTTAAATCTGGCTATAACGAAACTCAATTACTGCAAGCCAGATGGTTTTGTCTGATCACTAAATTTCCGTATTCGGATGTTTAAAGGAGGCCAGACACCAAAAAAAAAAAGTTTTCCTGATATTTTGCATAGAGACCCCCCCCCCCCCCCCATGAGGGGTTGAACTCATGACAGGCAGCTCAGGGGTACAGCGCCGCTACCGGCTGAGCTACGGGGGCGCGAAAGCGCCTGACGACCGATGGTCTACATAAGCGCGGCGCGATTTCGTCCCCGGAACTGTTCCCGAAATTTTTGCTGTCTCGCCTCCTTTAAAATTAACATGAAACTCTAACAAAAACCAATGAATATTGGGGGTTTTTCAGGAATTTCTCTTTTTTGTGGCAGCTGAAAATATGTCCCATGCATTGGGAACGTACGCACATGAACCAACTACAATATACTTTTATGTGGATATTTGGAAGCCTCAAGTTCTCCCATTGATGTCGTCGGTTCTCGCTGGCCTTGCTATAATTTATATTCTGAATCTAATGGCATCAAGATTAGTCTGGAGAGCGATTACAATTCGGAAAAAGAACATGTCTTTCAAAAGTTATCAAAATCACAAACAACTAACTTTGTTAGTTTTGTGTCAGGTAAACTTAAAACGATTTCTTTTTTCGGAAAATTCTGAACTTCGAAATTTCAGAATCTCGTACCAGCAGTTGTTCTCTCCATCCCTTTGCTTCTTGTGACGTTTTCTTTCGTGATGAGTTATGAATCCGACACATTTGCAGAGACCATCAAGCATTTTGTAACTTTCACAGTAGCTATTTATCCAGCATTGAGTGTCGTTTTGAGGTTTGTAACAAAACCAATCTTTACTTTTCTCATCTTACCAGATTTTCAGTTTCTTCTTCATCAAACCGTACAGACGGTTTCTCATGACTATTTTATGCACAGTTTCTATTCGTCGATTCAAACAGACTCAAGTATCTGATATCAGGATGTCTAAAAAGTGCTCTTTGGGAAACGAGGAGTCATTTGACAGTGTTGGATACATGTAAAACAAAAGCGGGGATTAATTTGTTATCTTTTGTTTAAATGAAAAGCTTTACTATAAAAATATGAATTGAATGTGTTTTATAATTCCCATGTCATCTGTTTGAGGTCGTCGTGTATCGCATTTTTCACTTTTGTTTACTATGCTCCATCCGCTCCAAAAACTCATCATAGGATAGAAATTCGTCTTTCTTATCAGCTTCACTCGGAGCCTGAAAGCACAAAAAGATATAAATAAGGATTGGATCATTTACAAACCATCAATTTCGACTTTTGATCTGTTATCTCTTTTTTGATAACCATACAAGCATAGCATGTTCCGAAATTGTCATCAATGCAATCTTTACAAAACGACGATTGACATTTCGCTTCTGCACAATAAAGAAGCTTTCCAGCATAGGTCTTCTCTTGACATAGAAAACATTTAGCAGTTTTGGAAATTCTTTCAAAAACATGCCGTTTCAAAAATGATCCACCGGCTGAGAATTCTCTGAAATTGAAATAAAGCTACTCTCTATCTGATCTTTTGAAGTTGAAAAACCCTTTGTGCAGCGTCTCAATCCTCCTCCGATCCACCGTAAATCTAATACGAGCTCTCGCTTCTTTTCGATGTTTTTCACGATTCACCAAACACAAAAAATAATTGATTTTAGGAAGAAAATGGCTGATAAAACCTATTACCTTATTGTAAAACTGTATCAATCGAACTCTCGATCTCTGTGGGAACATGAATGGGAGAAAGTAATTGAGTACAATTCGACGAATAACAAACGAGAAAACAACCTGGAATTCGTTATTTTCATTATTATTTTCATTATTTTCCAATTTGCACGTTTTCCAAAAATTAGATCTCGTTTGTTTTTTTGGTCTCAAGATTATGACTCCATGTAGTATTTTTTGAAAGATTTGCGAAAATTATTCAATTAATGCAGCTCATGGGGATCAAGGTTCAGAATTGAATTGTCCATTGGTCTATTGAATAAACTAATAGACTTTTTATGTACCTGAAAGAGGAATGAAAGCAGAAGGGGAAGTCCGAGCCAGTAGATCAAAATATCAGTGTTTGGTGATAACGGTTTCGTGAGACAATGCTCATTGGAAAGTGTCTGAAGTTATATGCATTGCTTATTCTAGTCTCTGGGATTATACCTGATCAATCTCCAACGTCTCATTTGTTGATGTCATTGTCTTGAGAAAATCTGCAAGTACTCCTTCTCCGGTAATATTGAGCCCAGCAGGTGCACTTGCTTTTTGCTTAACCTGTTGTCTAGCAGATTCAACAACCTAAAAATAGGAATGAGATCGGAATTAGAAGGGAAAAGTATTGCATACCGAATCTAGAAAAACAAAAAGATAGTAGTCCATAATAACGATGACAGCAACTGTGAGAGCTAGTACGAACCATTTAAAGAACGGACGAATCGCTTTGGATCGTTCAGCTTTTGTTGGAAAACTGAACTTTGAAAAACTTTTATAGGATTAAAAACCTATTCTGTGCTACCTGAATACTTCCATAATTTTCCATTCTATTTTCTCTTGCTTAGAAAAATGAGATAAGTGTGTCTGCCCTTGACTTTCTCGGAAACTATCAATCATCCAGAATTCCCTGAAACAATTCATGAAGAAATTTCAAGAATTTTTTTACTGCACTTGGTAACAAATGAATTAGAGAAGGCCACATCATCCTGATACTTTCTAATCATTCCAACAGAATCCCGAAAAATGGTGTAGACAAAATAGATGAAGAATGCTTGAAATATTTGTTTGGACACTCCAACAATGCTCTGAAAATATAGGATCTGGTTAATTAAAGGCTACCAAATATATCTTGACCTTGAAATAAATATTGGCAGCTCGAATCTTGATTTTGAGATCTGAAAGTCTGTACTCAATAGCAACTCGAGGTGTTTCAACTCGGACTGAGTGCAATTCTATTTTGCTATTATCTTCTAATTGTTCTGTCAATTCCATCACATCCATTATATCCTTCTCAACAGTTGGATCCACATGGCTATCTTCTAGTTGATTTCTACAGATATTCAGAGATGAACCCTTCTTTCAACAGCCTAAAAATGATAATTTTTGATAGAGAATAAATAACAATTCGAACATCACAAAGACCCTCAACGTTCAGTTTTGGGCAGATGAATGCTTCAATAGGCCAAATTATAGCATCTTTGCAAGAAGTCTGAAAAATCAAATAATTTTTTTGTATCGAATCCAATGACATACCACTAATTCTGATGCCACATTCCTACACTTATCGATTCCTTTATTGAACATTTCTTCACAGTTTTTTGACATTTTATTTGCCATTTTTTGCACGAGCTGAAATTATAGAAAATTTAAGTTTTTAAAAAGTTAGTATCCTTACAGGTGTCTTGAACTTTTGCCAAATTGGTGTCTCGCCAATGGTCACATTGTTTATCAGGTTTTCGGCGGGAAGCAGTTCTGCAGCAATCTCATCGTCTTCTGTTAATTTTCGATTCATCGACTTCTCCCACATTTTCAAAATTCGCTCTTTTCTTTTCTCAATGTCTCTTAATTGATTTCTTTCGATTTCAATTTTCGTGTCAGTTTTCGTTTTTTCCTTTTTGAGCAACTCCATGAAAGGGGTTATTAGGGCTCTTGTTTCTCGTGAGACTGCTTTCATAGCCCGAATTCCTTTGGCTGAAAATCCTCTAATTTCAGTTTTCCAGATTCATTCATTACCCATAAGTTTTTCTATGAGTTCTTCCAGCGGACCAGTCAACAATGCAACTCGATTGGCTACAATTTTCGACTGCAATTCAATGTGACACATTACAATTTCAGATGTTGTTTCATAATTGGACATCATATTCGTAATTGGTCCCTCTTGAATATTACTCATCACCAGCATTGTAAATGGGTCTGAATACATATGATGAGCTAATAAGATTTTTTTCCGTGAACTTCTTACATTGTCCTTGTTTTCCAAATGCACCAATCAGAACACAAAAAAGAGCACATCGAAAAGTCTGAAGTAAAATCAAAATTTTAATTACCGTAAAACCTGTAATAGAAAGCCCCCCATACTGTGAAGACTGTGATAAATTTTCGTCGCTCTTACGCAAGACATTAAAAATGTGTCAACTGATAAAAAGTTTTTGATATTATGATAAATAATTTATTAGTTGACAACTTTTTGATATCTATTAGGGTTGGCCTGGAAAGTAACTGTCCATTTTTTTATTCGTGAATAACACAAAAACAAGAACCATCCAAGATTGACAGGATACACCGTCGTGGTCCACGACATGTTGACAACATTCAGGCAACTTGTGGATACCATACCTCCAAAAGCCAGCTGGCCGTGAATCAAAGTATACCTTCCCGGACGTTTTTTTCTCATCGACAGTGTAAAATTATTTTCCCTCCAGATGACGTTGAATATCTCCGAATAGCCAATAATAAAAGGGTCAAGTCTTGAGTTTAAGGAAAGTGAAGAGCCGTCCATCCAAAGCGTCTTAGGACTGAATTGAGTTTCATTAAATAACTTGAGAATGTATGTTCCACGGTAAGTCAAGTAAGACCTGGGCCGCTTTAGCTGGACGTTCCTCCTTTACGCACTTCTAACTTCTGATTCGGCCCTTTTATTATTGATGATTAGGAGATATGCAACGTCATCTGGAGGAAAATAATTTAACACTGAAGTTGAGATAAAATCTGGACTCAAAAATACTTTGTGTCGCAGCCAGCTGGCTTTTGAAGGTATGGTATCCACAAGTTGCCTGAATGTTGTCAACATGTCATGGACCGCGACGGTGCATACTGTCAATCTTGGATAACTCTTGCTTTTGTGTTATTCATGAATCAAAAAATGGACAGTTACTTTCCGGCCAACCTAATAGATATCAAAAAGTTGTCAACTAATAAATTATTTATCATAATATCAAAAACTTTTTATCAGTTGACACATTTTTAATGTCTTGCGTAAGAGCGACGAAAATTTATCACAGTCTTCACAGTATGGGGGCCTTTCTATTACAGGTTTTACGGTAATTTAAATTTTGATTTTCTACGGTATACCAAATGTCCAAACTAACTGGGCTAACAGTGAAGGCATAAGTTGAGAAGGATACGATTGTCCATTTTACAATCAACCCAGAAGTATAATCAAAATCTCCAAAATTTAGATTTTTCCATCCAGCATGATATAGAGAAGACGAGATCAGAAGCCCCAATATGAAATTGACCAAAAGACGAAGCCGATAATAGTCAGTGATTTCACTTAAAAACCAATTAAATTTCCCGGAAAACGCATTATATTCATTCTCACCTCCTTATCAAGTAATCAGTCAGAAATCCAGTATTTTGTCTTCTCCTGACCTCTTCTCTCTTTTTATCATCAAAAAACCCCATTTCTTAGTTTCCGGACTACTCGTCTCTCATGTGCCAGCTCGATCTTTCCCGTTTTTTGTTTCTAGAAACGTGTAGAAGTAGGACATCACGCTCAACTCTGTGTGGTACCGTATCCATAGAGACCCTTTTGTTTGCTTCAAGACAATAGGATTGCTCATTTAGAAGTCCTCCAGGTCTCCATTCGACACTCTTTTTGGTCTTCAACCAGAGACATATTTTCATTTTTGTCGTTGTTCTTGTTCTTTTTTTGTTTCTGAAATGACAACTGACAAAGTTTGTGGCTGTAATGTTGTTACCTCTGCTGGCGTAGTCACCAGCTTACAGGTATGATAAGCAAGATTCTGAAACAGAATGTAATATTAGTTTTTCCAGCTAATCGTTCTACTTCTGACTCTTTCAAGTACCGGTCTGATTCTTGATCGGTATAGAACATGGCAGACTTCGTATCCACAAACTCAATATAATGCTACTGCTCAAGCAGCTGCTGTAAGTTTCTTTTGTTTCAAGCACAACTTTATTTAAAAATTTTCAGAATGGTACATTGAAGTTCAATGCAACTATTTGGAGCGAGACATGGGTTGAATTGGGAATGGCTTGGTACGTTGGCTTCGGAGCGTTCTGGCTCTTCTCCATTCTCATTCTGGTCCTCTCCTTCAAATACTATCGTCCCGTATTTGTGGTTCCTAATTTCACTGCTCTTGTCGTTGGGATATTCATGAATCTTCTCGCATTCGGAGTTCTTCTCGCTCGTATTCTTACGGTTTCCAAGGATTACCGAACTGATGAGTACCAAGAAGTAATCATCATTTATGTCATGGGACTGTGTCTTTTTGCCTGTATTTGCTGCTTGCTCTTCATTATTTTCATTTCAAAGTACCACACATTCCTCAGAAACCGATATGGCCACCAGGTACCAAAGGTAAGCGTGTTTCTTGTTCAGATTTTGTTCATCTACAAATTCTTGTTTTCAGTTCATACAATCCCGAGCAAGAACTGGGTACCACGATGAAGCCTACTGAGAACCTTCTGGAAACTTAATACTTTTCTCAACATTTTCTTACTCTCTTAATAAATACATGTGACATGAAACTTCGTCCAATTCTATGAAATTGCAAGAAACTCTTTCTTATCAAACACTTTTAATCCTAGAACATCACACTTTCAAGTACAGCTTATATGACCGATACACAAGAACCAAGTAGAGAAGTCAATGATAATTTACAGACATGGCGATAGAAATTGTGAAATCTCAAATGCCTTAAACTTTCTTTGAAACAACTAATTTGTATTGATCAGCAGCGGTGTTTTCCTTGCTCTGCATATGAGTGAGAGATGCGTAGATGATTTTGTCATCGCTCAAAGGGATCAGAGAAGTTGGTTTTCCCCAAACGATGTCACTGTTTCCGATCAAATCGTCAGCTGAAAAAACCAATGTTTCAAAAGAACTTTCCAAACTCGCTCACCTTTGCTCCACATGCTGAAAACGTAAGCACCATCTTTCTGGTTTGAAGAATTCATTTGATCCAGAAGAGTGGAGTAGGTGGATACTCCGTTACATGGGATTGCAGCCAGTCCACAGTATGCAGAAGTGTGAGCCCCACACGAATCTCCTGGCCAGAATCCATTCTTCTTGTTGCACGTGGCAGCAAACAATCCAATAGTCCCCGCACAACTACAGAGTCCGTAGTTGGCTCCAGCGATTCCAACGAATACATCGACTTTGTTGGCTATGGACACTCCCAAATCGCAATTTCCATCAGTTGCGTTCACAAATCCTCCACTCACAACTTTTCTTCCAAGAGTTACTCCCATACTGTGACTCACGACAGACACTTTAGCGGATCCTGTGTAAGCCAGAACTGCTTCGAAGAATTTGCGAAGACGAGTCAAATCCTTGCAATTATGAGTACGTGTGCTAGCTTTTGCAGCAGTTGTATCTTGCCATGATGTCGCATAAAGTTCTCCTTGAGTGTATCCTTTTGTTGTGAAGTAAGCGAGGGAATTATCCCATCCAGTTGCCATTGAAGACGTTTTCAAAGCACTATCCGAGTTTCCATGAAGGAAGATTATTGGGGTTCGGGTGGCTTTAGTAATTTTTGAAGTGAATCCTCCATAGCTTCCTTTGGTTCCATAATCACTTCTCACAAAATCATAGGAACTGTAGCCATTGCTAAAAAATATATTTGCATTATCGATATCTCATTAGTAGAACAAACCTTTTGAGCCAATTTTGAAAGTCTGTGGACAGAGGTCCATTCACCACAGCAGATGATTGGCCAGCAATTGCAAGAAGAACAAGAATAGAATTAAACATGTCGAATGAGAAGACGATGCGATTGGAGCACAAGTGATCCGCTTTTCTTTTTATACCAAAATGTCGAGGACATGTGTTATGGACTGTGTCTTGAACACTGATAACCGACGAAAATGTGTGTAGGCGAGAAGCTGATTTTTACAAGTTTAGAGGGTGGCATCGGAAGAAAAAAACGAAGAGGGTTTTATGTTAAGGAAGAAACGGTAGACCAAACGTGTGTAGGTGTAAATGACATCACGAAGGGAAATTTTTTGAGTTTATTGAAGTGTGATGTTTGGGTTGGTAAAGTAGGTCTGCAATTTGCTATTTCTATTTTGGTGGGCTTTTCTCTGTTCAAATCTGTTCATTCGGAATAACAGTAGAATGGAGTATTATAGTTTGTAAAGAAATTCTCACTTTTTCAAGTTTGTTTTTATGGGTCTCAAGACTAAGAACGAATTCTAGTATTTTTTCAAACGCCCGTTTCATGATAATGCCATGGATGTCTGTTTTTAACTTCTGGTCATAAGTTGAGAAAGGTTCGTCTTCTGGACTGATATTGACTCGGAACTTGTCCAAAAACGGCTGCGTAGCGGGTCATGATCACATTTTGGTCGGATGTTGAAAGTTGAAACACTACTAGGTCGGAACCTTGCCACAAGTTTGTCGGAGTTTGGTCGGCTTTAGTTATTTGGAACCTGACTATCCTCAGACCAGAAATTGCCTGTGACGCCCGAGCTCCTAACTCAACTGTAAACGCGTGTTGATGTAACGATAGAATACGTTGAATGCTGGTGTACCCGTCCAACGCTTTATCACTTTCTAGAGAAAAACAGTTTCTAGGTGAGTTCTTTATTCAACAGAATTGATTTTAACGACATTGATTATCACTGAATTTCTGATCGGAGGATGTACTATATTTGTAGAAAACAAACTACCATAAACTAACGTATGACTTCTCGGTAAAAATCGCAGCAGATGTGCACTCCACTTACATCTCTTGCGTAAATGCTACACATCTTCCGCAGTTTCAAGCCAAAAATGTACACTCGGTAAAAAGTCGCAGCAGATGTACATCAATTTAGGCGATCCCAACAGATGTGCAGCGACTACACTACTGTTGTGTAGCTTTTGATTCTCGCATCAACTTTGCAGCATCGATGCATCAACTGCATGTACATTTTTGGCTTGAAACTGCGGAAGATGTGCAGCATTTACGCAAGAGATGTAAGTGGAGTGCACATCTGCTGCGACTTTTTACCGAGTTAAGCTCTGATCAATATTATTGGTTTCTGTAACAAGAACAAGACAGTTTGAAGATAAAATTATTCATTCTATGGGTTATTTCAGAATTCAGTACATAAATCATTTAGCATGGACTGTGAGAGACTTCGTCGGTTCCGTAGATTTTGTGCTGTGGGAAGTCCATCATCTCCTTAGTGAATTGATGACGATACGCTTGGTGCGAGTCGAAATTATCATTACTTATTAACGATAACAAACTGTAAAAAAGGCATAGTTTGGTTGGTGTGGGGATACTTTAGTTGTTACCGTGGTACGTCATTGTTGGCGTCCGGGTAGATTGTAATAAGACTTGTAAACGATAGAAGATTTGGAATTCCCTTAAGGATGGAGGCCATCAATGCAGTTGCAGCATCGAATGATTCAGCATACAATGGAGCAAGAATGAGCTCATTTCCAGTTGCCATTTTGATTGCTCCGAATCCAACGATCTTTCCGGTTTCATTGGTGACCAAGCGGGCAATAGTTCCTGCAGTGGACAAGTTGGATTTCATATACTTTCTGCGATTAAGATCACAGATTGTTTCATCGTACTCGTGAAGTTTCTCCCAATCGTTTTCCTCGATTTTCTGAAATTCAAAAAGTAACTCTCTTGCTCAGATTCCCAATTCGAATAACCTTGCAAGTAAACCCGTTTGGCATTGCCGGAATGACGAGATCAGCAGCGTCCATATCTGCGAAGTTGTGCCAGTACTCGTTCATAATGGAGAAGTTAAAGCGTGTTGCGTAAAGGGAGGACATCTCAACAGCTCCGAACAGTGTACAATTCTCTTTTCCCACATGTTTCATGACCTGTACAAACAGTTTGTTACTGATTCCCTTTCCCCTCCATTCCGGCACGCAGTAGTAGTTTCCGATCGAGTAGAGCTTCTTGCCGTCGGAATTCCGTTGAAGTGCCAATGACACCACACTGACGCATTCATCGTTTTCCTCGTCGATTGCCATGTAGAGCCAGAACTTCTCGAATGCAGTGCACCACAGCTTGTACTCGGCACGTCTGTAGTTCCAGCGTTCAGTCTCGGTGATCCACTCTTGAAATTGATCGAAATACTCTTGTGTTGGGTTGAGCACGACTTTGATGCCTTTCCGCATGTTTAGATCTGCTGTCACACCCATCGTCTTGATTAGCGGCTGGATTGTAGGGGAAATAGGATATCTGAAAATAAGATTGATGAGTTGAGACACTTCTGGAATATGGATTCAATCGGATTCCAGATTCCATTCGAGAGTTGAGCATCGACGCAAATGGTCCTGGCATAGACCATTTGGGAGCACACCATTCTTCTCTATCATTGGGAGAGGAGAAGAGGGGACCTATAGAAAAAAGAGTGAGATTAGATTCTGTGACAGTGAGGAGGACTAGAGCATTGTTCTCGAAAACATTGAACAATTGTGCTTCAGAGAACCTACACCGACATCAACATACAAGAAGACGTTCACAAAGGGAAGTCAAGACTATTCAGAATATCCATCGCCTGACGCGTCACCTTCGATTTGCCATGATCGACGGCCACGTGGCAGACTGAGGGCTTTCTGCGTCTCGGCCGAATAAGAAAAGGTCAGAAATAGATGAATTTGAGTCTCCGTTTGATAAGAATACGGGTACCTTGTTTGGGTGCCGGCCTTATATGCAGGTCGTGGACAGACTGAAAATCACGAGACCAGTCCACAATCTGATGATAAGGGGCGGCGACACTAGAGAGTGTTTATCTGTCCCAGAGAGACACTCTGAACAAGGTTATCATCTAAACGAATCATCGAAATTCTGCTTGTTTGATTTGGATTCACTTGGGAAATAGTGTAGGTACACAGGATGCACAAACATCCCTATTATCAGCGAATGAACTTTGTATGGGGGTTTTTCCCACTTTTCACTCACGGAAGAGGAGATTGGACACACTGATAACTCGAAAAAGTTGTTATTGTCGAAAAGCGAAATTGTATCAACTGAACTTTCGGACTGTACAATAACTACGAAGTAATCAAACATGGTATCGGAAAGAACGACCATCTCAGTATGATTCGAGTGCATGGATCCACATAGATCCTTCGGAATGTTTCGCACCAGTCCGTGCAAAAGTGATGTAAACATCTAAACCCACGTTGTAATTTCAGATAGCAAGAAGCTAGTTTCCGGATGTTTACCTAACGGGTGTTGATTTTAGGAACATCTAAAAATAACACTTATTTTGATTCGATAGTCTCTAGCTCCTCCAGTTCTCCTCCAAATTTATGGCAGACAAAAAAAAAATTCACCGCTTAAGTTATTTTTTTAATTTTCTCCTCTACTGTAATCAATGGAATGGTTCCTAGAAATTGATATGGAGTTTTCTCTCTCTCTCTTTTTTTGAATCCATAAACCTTTAGTCTCCCGCACTTCAACCATTAATTGATAACCATAAAGGTACCTTCGATAAAAAACTGTGACGCTAGTCGAGAAAAAAAAGTTAATGCCCACTTAGGTAGAACTGATAACTGGTACCAGATCAGAGTCTCTTCTAGAAGATTCATTTGTCCAATAAATCAACCTTTAGTCTCACACTCCTGTTTTGTTTTCCATGAGAAGAATCAACGTAACTGTAGTAATCTATGAGTTCAATAATCATCTTCTTACCTCCCTTTTCTATCTTCTTTCGGAAAAAATCAAACTGATCATAACGATCATCTATGACCCGCACGGATGTTTGACACCAGTCAGAATTCTTTGAACACAAGAAATAAAGATGCTTAGTGATAATGTACCTAGAATCTAGTCAAACCACTATAACAGAGATCGCCCTCTCGAAGACGATTCTGTGGAATAGACACTTCTAAGTGCACCCCGTCAACTCAAAAAATGACTTGACATCTGGACTATGGTACGGTTAAAAAATCAGATCTCTGGGGAAAGAAGAACCGGTTTATTTACATCTTCTTATCATCTTTAAAAAGAAAGATCATCTCGTGGACGTAGTTTTCGAAAGTCGTTGCAATTCTCAATCACGTCATCGTGTTATTTTGTGTGTTTAATGATGGCGACAACCTTCTGGACATATGACTATCAAGAAAAGATGATAAGAGGGGGAATTGCAGTTGCACCTCCAAATGATTTTCACTTTTCAGAAAATAAGGGAACCAGTGAGATAACAAAATATGAAAATTGTGGTTTAAAAGATGAAAGCATACGGAAAGTTGAATAATATGAAAATTGATGGTAATAAATAGTGGTCGAGGGACCGAGAAGTGGGACGACAAATCAAACGGAACGTCTTGAACAGAGACGCTGGAAGAATCAAAAAAGCAACCGGTTTCAAATCTTATGATAGCGAAATAAATTAGAATAGTTGACATATTTTTTTCTCGCTAGTTTTATTTTATCAGATATCTGCATTACTGTTACTGTGGAACCGGAAAACCTGTATTAGAAGAGCCCCTTTGATAGAAGAACCCCTCTAATAGAACGGTCCTCTGAGAGTGGCTAAAAAATGGCAGGATAAATAGAAGGGTCTCTGTAATAGAAGAGCCCCGGAAGTACCTTACTACCGAAAATTTTGGATGATGTAAAACAGATCTAGATTGAAATCTTTGCATTCGCAGAATTTTTGAACTTTTCTAGTTTTTCAGCTATTTGTTTGAAAGACATCTATTTTTTCACATTTCCAGGACAAACACGGGTCAAAAAGGAGTTTCTTTCAGAAACCGGCAAATAGCTGAAAAGCCATAAATTTTCAAAATTATGTAATATGGAAGTTTTCAATCTAGGTCTGTTTAACATCATCCAAAGTTTTCAAATTGACCGAAAACTTGGCAAACGATCTACAGACTCCTGAAACTTGTAAAAATAGTAGAAAATCAACCGGAAAATACGTTGTTGTATATCTTATTGGCCGGTACTGTTTACATATACCTTCCCCGAGAACTAGTTCATTGAAAGACGGATGTTATGACAATGTGAAAACTTTTCAGTTATATAAAATTGATCTCATCTCCTGGCACTTCTCTCCGCCCTCTTCTTCTCTTTCTCAATGAATGCACTATAATGTTCTGCCCATATTCTCTGCTGTCTCCATAACCAAATCGCAACACTTTCCCTCTGGTGTACGGTAAAGACACTTCCATCAAATCGAGTTATCGGTACCAATTTGTCCTTGTTGAATGATCTGGTGACCACTGCGAAAATCTTCACATGTAGACGATCGTGAAGATTCACACTCTCCTTATCAGCACTGTCATCTGAATAACCGTCGGAAACAAGACAGAGAACCTGAAATCACCTTTACATACAATATTCTCAAAAAAACGTTCAAAAGTCACCTGAAGTCGATCATGTTTTGGGGTTGGCAAGAACTGATGTCTCTTGGTCGTTTTCTTTAAATTCTGTTCGTGGTACATTATCCCTCCGGCAAACGCCAATGCTTTTGATAACATGGTCGCACCTCCCGTATAGGAAAGTCTCATGACTCCCCGCCGAACACTTTCATACGAGTAGTACTGATCGAATCCGAATACAACACTTGGATCTTGAGCGTATTGGACCATTGAAATTCGAGATCTTCCAGGAGCAACATCCACATCTTTCAGGATTTCACAGATGAAGTTCTTTTGCTGAAATAAAAAAAAACAAATTGATGTATGAGCATAAAAAGTACTAACAATGTCAAAGTTGTTAATTCCAATACTACTCGATGTGTCAACTAGAAACATCAAATCGATCGGTGGCAACTTCCTAGCTGGATGGTCTCGTGGAAGATGTGTTCTTCTATTCAATTCTTCCAAATCGGTTTCTGTACTATCGGTGATATCACTTCCCGAACTCAATATACTTTCCGATGTTCCTGAAGATTGATTATCTTCTTCGCCTTCTTCTTTTGAATTGTCTCTTGAAGTGGAAATGGGAGTAACTTGAACTTCTACTTCTCTCGGACTTCTTGGGGATTCAATACCGGAGTCTCTTCGATCGCTTCTTTTACCTGAAATTTTTAAATCTCTTGATCGAGAATTACTCAAATTCTTTCCTTTCCTGAATGATGTTCGTGATGGAGAGGAGGTGGTTGAATAAACGGAGGAAGTATCTGTATTTTTGAGCCTTGTTGATAAGCCATATCCAGCTGTCGATCGAACTGAGACTGAATCATATCCTGTTGTTTTTTCATCTCTTCTGCATGCTTCTCTCCGTTTGCTATTTGTTTCTGCATCTCCGAATGAAGTTGAGATGTAAAGTACTCGTTCTGTTTCCGAAGAAGACGTTCGGATTCGGATATTCGATGTCGCAAGCGGCGATCTGAATAGTAGGATTTCATGAATTCGATGATTAGGAAACTCACTCTCTTCGTTGTAGTTGTAAATGGCATAAAGCAAAAGTGCCACTGGAATAAGTGCAAATAGTAGAATAGCTCCTATTATAATCCAACAGAGAGGACCGAATCGAGTGGTGGATGTACCTGGAAATCAGATTAGGCAATAACTTTTTGTAGGTCCAAATTCCCTAGCCCACTATCTTCATTGAAAAAGCTCATGTTAAAAAATCTGAGTAACTCACATGGAACTGTCCAAAACACTGTCTGTTCAGCGTTTTGGCGATGACAACTAGTGGAATTCCAGTTCAAAAAGTTCCACCAAGAAACATCAGCGATGATTTTACTCATCCATAAAGCTTCGGTGCAGAAAAAAAATACACAAATAAAGTTCTTTGAAGAGAAACACAATTCGTATAGGTGGTGGTCAAAAAGGGAATGCTTCTCTTCTCTCTGTTGCGCACATGGACACCCATGGCAACAGAATGGAAGCTCGCCCAGCAAAAAAGGAAATCCGCGCACAAAAAAGGATGACACCAAACACTAATAAGGGGATATCGGATGGTAATTTCGAAACAGATACTAATTTTATTGGAACAGTTAATATTTCGTAGATGAGGAAACAATAATCCATGAATAAAAATAAGACGACAATACTGGTAAACATGATATTCACTGGGTACCTCAATTTCGAAAAAAAAGCGGTACGCAAGTAACCAACTACTACTAATATAATTTCGATACATGTTTAATAATTCTTCAGAATTGCAGAACTAACGGATATCTTTTACCAAAAGTTTTGAATGTTGATATCGAATCTGTATCTCTGGCGTCGATGAAACTCCGATAAACTTATGAAAAGATTCCGACCTAATCGTATTTCAACTTTTAACTTTCCACCCAAATCTGACCGTGGCCCGCTACACAGCCGTTTTCAGGCAACTTCCGACGAGAATCTGGCCAATATCCGTCCAAAAGTCAAACCCCCTCATTTTCTGACGCGAAGTTACAAACCAAGACAATTCAAAAAAAATTACCTTTGATGTATCCATTTACACTTTGACATAGTGGTCCAACCAAATGAGGAAGATGTTCGAAATCTGTCACTTTGATTCCCACGGTGTGAGCAGATGGTTCAAATCGAGATACATGCATATTTGATCCAATTACAATATAGAAGACGTGGAGTGGAGATGAAGGAGAAATGAGGGGCTCATTTGGAAGCTAGACAAACTATTGTGTTTCTGGGTGTGTTTGTGAATAACTTACAACTTCGACCAATGGTTGATAACTGTTTGATATCACTAAAATCACATCTGGAACCCCTTTGCGATTTGATGAACTCATTGTGGACCTAGTCAAAGAATTAACACTTGTTGATTGGCAATTTTCCAATTCACATGGACAGTATGGTGCTTCTTGAATTCTAGATTCCGGATATGTTGCATTCGAAAGACTCCATTCCACCCTAGACCAAGGAGTAAACTGAGCCATCGCAACTTTTGACGAGCTCATTTTCATTGTGGACATTACCTAGAAATATGATATTTTGAAATTCTCAATTTCGAATTTATATCGAAAGGGTCCATTCGTTTTTCAAATATCTCACCTGTCTCAAAAAGTCAACTTCTGCCCGATGTTGAAATGAGGTAACTTGTGGAGTAGAGTCCATTATGAATAGAGCATCTACTTCTGGCCATACACATCCAGAAACATGATTTAATTTCAGAAAAATCAAAAGATAACATAATCCAGGAGGCATCTTCTTCTATTATATGTTGTTAGTGTGCTGGTGAGAGATGTATAACAAAAAAGCAACAAAAAACTTTCGCTTTTTTTCTTCTTTTTTTTTCGTTGAAATGTTGCTAGGAGTTTTTGGAGTGTTGGGATGCGCACGACTCTTTTTTTGGAAAGATCCGAATGTTGTATAGTTGTTTCGGAGGCCTCATAAATAAGTTAGATATTTATGGCTTAGTTTTTTTCGTCTGGTGGGATTGTAAAAGAAAAATGCCTCGAGTATATATTAGGGAAAATGAAAAATTTTTGGAAAACGATGAATTCTAAGACATCTGAAATTTTAATGTGTAGAGAGCAACACTTTCATAATTTTCATTTCAGCTACAGTACCGGTCAATAATATATGAAAACCCCTTTTCAGTTGATTTTGACCATTTTCAAGAGTCTGGAACTCCGCTGTCAAGTGTCCGGCCACTTTGAAAGTTTTGGAAGTTCTGAAACAGACCTATATTGAAAACTTCCCATTCGCAGAATTTTTCGAAACTTCTTAGTTGTTTAGCTATTTTCCGATTCATGAAGGACATCCCGAAACTATGAATTTTCGAAAAACTCTGAGAATGAAAACTATTCAATCTAGGTCTGTTTTACACCATCCATAATTTTCAAAGTGATCGGAAACTTGACAGCCGAGCTCCAGACTCCCAAAAATTCTCAAAATGACCGGAAGTCCACTGGAAGATACGTTTTCGTAGAGCTTACTCACTGGTCATGTATCACAATCAGATCACATTTTGGGCCTTTCTACCTGCCTCTCATGTAGTTAGCAATAACTGTAAAGAACAACCCGTAAACATGAAAATTTGAAAAAATGAAACAGTCAAAATTGGGAATGCAAATCCTGTTACTCAATCCTCTTTTCACATGTCTCTTTTTCCTTCTTCTTATGCTGTGTGTCCACTCACAACGAGTATGCACATACAGATCGAGAACATCTGTCCACGCAATATTTATCACTCCTACCCTACTCCTCTCATCAATTTCCTTCTTCCTGACAATTTCATCTGTCCGGCAAACCACTTCACCGCGTCGTCCTCCTCAATCAGCCGACCGGCCAGTTCTTCTTTCATTTTTCTACTCCGCAAGAGCAACTGCTCATTGCGGCGGTAGGGATTGGGTAAGGATGCTCTGTCTCTTCCTCTGCAGCACATTTGCGCACTTATGTAAGTACTATAGTTTGCTTAGTGATTATTGACATTAGTGGTGACTCCAGTCAGAACGAAGGACTTCCTGAATATGATTTTGCTGCGGCATGTGTGTTATCTCTTTTGTATTTTGAGCGTAATCTGTTCGGCTCTCCTCAAAATGGTTCATCCAGTTGTTTTTTAACTGTATTTCTTTTGATACTAAAAATGTTAGTATTGTTTAACTTCAGCTAAAATGGGACGGAGGGACTATTAGGTCTAGTTCTGTGGTAGCTGATCATTTGTTCTTCCCGAAAACTTTGGTTGTTGATTTTTCAAAAAGAACTGGAAAAAAGTTTTCTGACAGTTCCTATTCTTATCCTTGCGAGAATTAGCTGTATTATTTTTACTCTTTTTTTGTTGAGCTGATTTTCAAGACTCTTGGGAACATTTGTCATCTTTTGAGTCATTTGAAAATTTCGCAACTATCTTTTATGATGGCTCAAATCCTTCTGCTCCATTTTTTTCTACACTCCAAAAACTCCTATCATCCCTAATTTTTCTCCCGGATTCGATTTCAACTTTTTCTTTTCTTCCCGAAAAACTCTTTTTTCCTCTATTTCGTTCACTTCTTTCCTCGCACCCAAAGCCATCCGAAACACGAAAACCGGGGGTGACGGCGATGACGATGGCGTAAAAGAGGAGAAAGAGGAGGAAAACGACGACATCGAAATGTATATTGGTTCCGATTTGTGTAAACATAAATACTTTAGTAGTTCGCTGCGAACTCTTCTCGCTCAACGCTGACAATGGGTTTAGGTAGACTTATGTTTCTTGCTTTTTGCGCCCACACTTAATTCAGACTTTCTTAGTTTTGAGATTAAATACTTCAAATCAAATCTGATTTTTGCAATCTCAATTTCAGATCCTTGCTTGAAATCGCTCAATGAAAATATCTCTAATTTAAAATAATGATTTTCACTCAATCCAAACAAGAGTTTCCACCATAAAGTAGTTGTGGTTAAGCTATTTGTTCAGTTGTTTTTTTTAGATCGTGTGATTTTCACTGTTCAGCAAGTATTTACCAAAAGTTAACTAGTCAAAGATAAATTTCGAGATTGTGAGCTCGAGCACATGAAAAAACTGGAATGTATACTGTACACATTATTTAAAGGCGCATGTAAAACTTTATCGTTGGGTTTCAAACCGAAAATGTACGGTTGATTTTTGTTTTCAAAACATAATTTCTCTTCTTTATTTTTTGCAACAAACAAAAAAGCATTTCTCAAGTACTTCCGACTCGAAAGACATGAAGTTTTCCGTAATGTCGCGCTTCTTATCACTTGTTGTTTTCTCTAAACCTGGAAATTTTCACGACTCCCGATCGTGCTGCTATGTTCGCTTCAAGTTTGTACTAACTGCGTAATAAAACCTTCTTCTTGCTTTTCCCATTAGGTTGAATGTGACATCTGGCTTCTTCAAAGAGCGTACGCACTAGCAGTACGCCATGCAAACCGTTTGCGCACCAGACGTGTCGCGTGAAATGCGCAAGTTAATCAAATCAACCGATCTTCTCGGCTGTCCGTCCGGATGGACAAAACGGAGAAACCGATGGATAGAGACGAAAAATAGTGTAATTTTCCCACAACTTGCCTCTTTTTCTCATCTTTTCTCTTTTTTTCCCAGCTATCCGTTCAACTGCACTTTTGACCCCCATTTTAAAACCATTTTCAAGGCGATTTTTTTAATTTTCCTTAATCAAAAAACTAATTTGGTTTCCGCCTCGTTCCTTTCTGTTATGGAATTATCTGTTGTCATTGTTTTCAATTCATTCGAATTTCGTCACATTTCCCAAAACAAAAACCATGTTAATGACAAAAAAACTTTCGTCATTCATTAAATTTTTTTCCGACCACATTCATCAAGCTTTTTTCAGAAATGGCAGACCCGCCGCCTGATGATTCGGCGCCGGTTAGGCTGAAAGACCTTGAGAACATCTACATGGATGGACCTAGCAAAAGACCTGAAGCACTTTCATTTGAAACTTTGATTGGTGAGTGAAAGAAATATTTAAAAAACAATGCTTATCAATTTGCAGATTCACTTATATGTCTATACGACGAATGCTGCAACAGCACACTGAGGAAGGAAAAATGTATTGCAGAGTTTGTGGAATCAGGTAAGCCTCAGAATTTGATCGAAAATTGAAGACTTAAAATATAAAAAACCAGCTAAAACTGCTTGCCTTTTTCTAAAAATAAATTGATTTCAGTGAAAACGGTCATTGGGAAAGCTAAAAAGTTGCGGCTAGGCAGGGACGATTTCGAAGTGCTCAAAGTGATTGGAAAAGGAGCGTTTGGAGAAGTGGCCGTTGTTAGAATGCGTGGCGTCGGTGAAATTTATGCCATGAAAATTCTGAACAAATGGGAAATGGTTAAAAGAGCAGAGACTGCTTGTTTTCGGGAAGAACGAGATGTTTTAGTCTACGGAGACAGAAGGTGGATCACGAATCTGCATTATGCTTTTCAAGATGAGAAGAATTTGGTGAGTTTTTTGCCGTTTTCTCGCCTATCGCAATTCTATTGTTTTCAGTATTTCGTTATGGACTATTACATTGGTGGCGATATGCTCACTCTTCTTTCCAAATTCGTCGATCATATTCCTGAATCTATGGCGAAGTTTTATATCGCTGAAATGGTACTTGCAATCGACTCACTTCATCGCTTAGGATACGTACATCGAGATGTGAAACCAGACAACGTGCTTCTCGATATGCAAGGACACATTCGGTTAGCAGATTTTGGAAGTTGTCTCCGAATTCTGCCCGACGGATCAGTAGCGTCAAACGTGGCCGTCGGAACACCCGATTACATTTCTCCTGAAATCCTGAGAGCAATGGAAGATGGAAGGGGACGATATGGAAAAGAATGTGATTGGTGGTCACTCGGTATTTGTATGTAAGTAACTTAATACTTTTCAAGAAATCCTGATAAAAACGTTTTTATAGGTACGAAATGTTGTATGGAACAACGCCGTTTTACTCGGAAAGACTCGTGGACACTTACGGAAAAATCATGAGTCATCAAGATATGCTTGATTTTCCTGATGACGAAATTGACTGGGTTGTATCAGAGGAGGCCAAAGATCTTATAAGACAACTCATCTGTTCTAGTGACGTCCGATTCGGACGAAACGGTCTCAGTGATTTCCAGTCACATCCGTTTTTTGAGGGAATCGATTGGAACACCATCAGAGACTCGAGTCCTCCCTACAAGCCAGAAGTTTCCAGTCCCGAAGACACTTCGAATTTTGACGTCGACGTCTGTGAAGATGATTTTACTCCATGTGTGAGTTTTTTGATCTGAAAAATAAATTTAAAAAAAAAACGGTTTTAATCGTGTTTAAAACCATAAATAGGATGAGAAACTTCTCAAAGTTGATAAAAGTTTCAGGAAACACAACCTCCGAGAGTGCTAGCCGCTTTCACTGGAAACCATCTTCCCTTCGTTGGTTTTTCGTACACACATGGAAGTTTGCTCTCCGATGCGCGCTCTTTAACAGACGAAATACGAGCGATCGCTCAACGATGCCAGGGAGACGCTGAGCTCATGGAAAAAAGTGTCGATGGTTTTATGGTGGAACTGGAGAACGAGAAAGCTGAATTAGTGCAAAAACTGAAAGAAGCTCAAATTATCATCGCCCAGCACGTTGCAGAAAATCCCAGGACGGGTGAAGACAGAAATTATGAAGCGACGATAGCACAGTTAAAAGACGAGATACAAATTCTGAATAAGCGTTTGGAAGATGAAGCCGTCGCTCAACAACAACAGAAACCAAAGGATGAAATTGTGGTGGAAAGTGAGAAAAAATTGAAAGAGCTGAAAGAACGAAACAAGCAATTGGTTATGGAGAAGGGCGAGATTCAAAGAGAATTGGATAATATCAATGATCATTTGGATCAAGTTTTGGTGGAAAAAGCGACTGTCGTACAACAACGAGATGATATGCAAGCAGAGTTGACCGATATTGGAGATGCGTTGTTGAGTGAAAAGGATGCTGTGAAACGGTTACAAGAGGAATCAGAAAAAGCTAAGAAGCAGACGACAGAGTTGGAAGAGAAATTGAAGGACGTTGAAGCAGAAAAAGTGATATTGATCAAGAGTGAGTTTTGTGAGAGAAAGAAAATAACATTGGAGCGAAAACAAGAGAAAATGAAAAGACGAAAACAGTTCACATGCACAAAAGAGACAACGAATTGTGTCGAAATTGGCCATCATTTTTATTACTGGTCCCACACCATGTGCACGTTGTCCCTTGCAAGAGAAATAGCTCAGTTTTAATTACCGTAAAACCTGTATTAGAGGGGCCGTCTCTTATATTTTTCTAACCCCTATTTCCCCCCTCGGAGAGCCCTTCTAAATTTTCATCGAAAAATTCAGCGAATTCGCGTTCCAAAAGTTTTCCAACAAATTGTTGTGAAATTGTGGAATTTCCGGAATCTTTTTCACTGGAAAAGTACTGAAAATTCTAATTTAAAACAACACTTTTTGAGAGGGGGCTTCTATTATAGGGTCACCTAGTATTTTTCCCATACTTGCAACGGGCCGGGCCGAAGCGACAAATTTCCCGGCCCGCCTTTTCTCAGTGAAAAAAATTTCCAATTAAAAATTAAGACATTTTTCTGAATTCAAAAAAGAAAAAAAAGTTACATAATTTTTAAAAGTTTTCAAAGTAGAAAGTAGTAAAAAATATAGAGTTTTCGATTAAATTTTTGGAAAAATTATAAAATTTTCGAAAAAAAAATTCAAAAAAATCATCTGCTCGACGGACCGGCCCGGAATTTTGCAAGTATGATTTTTCCAAGCCCCTCTCTCGGAAGGCCCTTCTAATGCAGGTATACTGTCTATGCAATAAAACCTGGGCAAGGGGCGGGGCTAACACGACACGCCCCTTTATAAAACGTGTGAGAAGAGAAAAATGTGAACGCGTTGAAAAAAGGGGCGTGTCACTTTGCAACTTGCGGCGCCCCAATCGTGTGACAAGCTAAACCAAATGATAATATGAAATCATGTATTTTCTGTTTCAAAAATGATGATAGATTTTTCATAGTAAACAATTTTGTGAAAAACAAGAAAAAATAGATTATATGACTCATGCTTCGAACAATTTAAGCAATACCGTTGTCCCACCCAAAACGCGAGATGGACAATCATTCGTTACATCAATCGTTATTCAATCTCTCATCTCTCTTATTCTTCCCCCGCTGTCAATAAAACATATATTTCAGAGCAAGAAGAAGTGACACTGGAAGCTCGGAAATCTGTCGAAACCGACGATCATCTCTCCGAAGAAGTTGTTGCTGCAAAGAAAAACATCGCCACACTGCAGACGGCCAACGAGGAAAAGGAAGCTGAAATCAAGAAGTTGAAACAGCGGATGGAGGAAGAACGTGCAAATCATACAGCTCAATCGGAGCAGGAAATGAAGCAGTTGGAGGCTCACTACGAACGAGCTCAGAAGATGCTTCAAGACAATGTCGAGCAGATGAACGTGGAAAATCGTGGCCTTCGAGATGAAATCGAGAAGTTGTCACAACAAATGGCTGCTCTTCCACGTGGCGCTCTTACTGAACAACAGCTTCTGGAACTGTTCAACTGGGTCAACGAAGAGAAAGCAACACGTGAGGAGATGGAGAACTTGACAAGAAAGATAACAGGAGAGGTGGAGTCACTGAAGAACAACTCACCGTTGACGACATCCAACTACATCCAGAATACTCCTTCAGGATGGGGTTCACGAAGAATGAATAATGTTGCTAGAAAAGACGGACTCGATCTTCAACGGCAACTTCAAGCCGAGATCGATGCTAAACTGAAATTGAAATCTGAACTCAAAAACAGCCAAGAACAGTATCTGACTGCCACTGCTCGTTTAGAAGATACTGAAAAGCGGATGGCTTCATTGATGAGAGAAGTGACAATGCTCAAACAACAGAAGCACACAGATATTTCCACGGATAGTGCCTTCTCCTCGTCAATCGGTCGTGGTGATTTGATGATTAGTATGAACAATGACTATGAGATGTCAAATTCATCTCTGATGCGACAAGAAATGATCTCAAGACAATCGACACCTTCTTACGAAAACGCAATTCTGCTCCATGACCACCAAGCTCCAAAACGAGTTGATGATTTGAGATATAAGCAAAAACCGATGAAGGCGTCTAGTGGAATTTTCTCTCCGGCTTCTGTATCTACTATGGAAAGAGGACACAACTTTGAGAGAATGAAAATCAAAACTCCAACAAAGTGTGGGCATTGCACATCGATTCTCATTGGACTCGATCGTCAAGGACTCTACTGTCAAAGCTGTCAATACGCATGCCACGTGTCATGTGCTGAACGGGTTTCCCAATCGTGTCCGGTACCAGAAGAAGAACGTCGACCACTGGGAATAGATCCAACACGTGGAGTGGGAACTGCTTATGAAGGTCTCGTCAAGACACCACGGATTGGCGGAGTTCGCAAAGGATGGCAGACCGCCTATGTGGTTGTCTGTGACTTCAAGCTTTACTTGTACGACTGCACTGTGGATAAACAGAATAAGATGCAAGATGTGAAAAATGAAATCCGTTTAGTTTTGGATATGCGAGATCCTGATTTTACAGTTTGCGGAGTTAGCGAAGCTGATGTCATTCATGCCCAGAAGAACGATGTTCCGAAGATCTTCCGTGTGACAACAACTCAAATCATGAACTCGTCATCTGAGTATTCGTCCTCATCCAAGTTTTACACCTTGTTCATGGCTGAGACTGAAGAAGAAAAAAGGAAGTGGGTCGTTGCATTGAGTGAACTGAAGACATTGCTGAGGAGGTCAAAACTAGCCGATCGCAAAGCATTCGTCGTCAAAGAAGTCTTCGATGTTACGACACTCCCATCTATCAGAGTTGCTCAGTGTTGTGCAATCATTGATCGCTCCAAAGTCGTCATCGGTTTCTCTGACCACGGACTCTACTGTGTTGAAATCAACCGACAAGTATTGATTCCAGTTGGTGGAGAGAAGGAGAACAAGCAACGATGCGTGGAAACAGTTGAATACGATGAAGCAGAGCAACTGCTGCTGATGATTGTTGGACCAGCTAAAGATCGCCATGTTCGAATTGTTCCTAGTGCCGCATTGGATGGACGAGACTTGAAATGGATCAAGGTGAACGATACAAAAGGATGTCATTTGATGGCTGTGGGAACCAACAATCCAAGTGGTCGAGCCGGATATTTCGCAGTTGCTTTCAAGAAGAGTGTCACGATATTCCAGATAGATCGTTCAGAAAAGAGGCATAAAAAGTGGAAGGTGGGATATATCTTATTCGATTTTTATCAGTTTCTAAACCATCAATTTTCAGGATTTGGCTATGCCAGGAACCCCACAATCCATGGCCATCTTCAACGGTCGTCTCTACGTTGGCTTTCCACACAGTTTCCGTTCCTGGTCGCTTGCCAGTGCCGATCCATTGGCTTCGGGAGATGGTATTATTCTTCAACACATTTGTAAAAAGTTTCTCTCTATGTGTTTCATCAGTTATCTGTTTCAGCCCTAATCAACATGGAAGACACCTCGTTACAATTCCTCAACCAACACACTCAATACGAAGCCAAGCTTATTGTCAACCTGCCAGGATCTCCTGATGAATATCTCCTCGTTTTCAATATGATTGGTCTTTACGTCAACGAGATGGGACGTCGTTCGCGTCTTCCAGAAGTGATGTTCCCAACACAAGCCAAATATTTTACATACCACGAACCGTATCTTTGTGTATTTTCCGAGAATGAGGTGGACATTTTCAATGTGACGCTTGCCGAATGGGTTCAAACGATTAATTTGAGGTAGGTTTTCATTTTATTCATCATTATTATTAGATGCAATTATTAATTAAATTCAAATGAGCTCATGCCTTGGGCAATGATTCCTTACGAAATCGTCCTGATCTATTTGGAAGTAACTAGTGTGATCTGCCAAATTGCTCAAAGCTGTGTTCCGGCATCCTAAATCATCGGCCACGGAGCATACATTGAATCCATCACCCTTTCCCATATTGTTATCGTAATGCACCAAATATCTATAATGCATAGCTTGTCGATTATATTGAGCGGCGGTTAGAACTGCTGGGTTGAGCGGGGCTGGCATATTTGGAACTGGGTCTCCTCGCTTGATAACTCGATAACGAAATGGTACATTCTCTTCGACTTCCTTGGCATAGGCGATGTTTCCAGTTCGTGGCTCTCCGAACGTGATGAGTCTAACACGGTTTTTGTCCACTCCCTTCTTTTTGACCAAGTGCAAGGCAGTCATAGAAGCGAGAGATCCTCCAAGGGAATGACCAGTCAACTAAAAGTATTTCGTAGTTAATTTCCATTCAAAACAGGCTGTCTTACCCAGATTCTGTAGTTTTTATGCTTCTTCATCAGGTCCATTAGATCATCTTCCATTCCACTGTCGATGAACAGACGGTAGAAGGCAGTATGGAAATAGTTGATAACTCCAGCGTCTTGAGATTCAAACTTCTCCCACGCTCCAAGTTGGGCGGTCAGTCCATGGAGCATCTCAGCGAACACTTGCTTTCCAGCAGTGCTTCCCTTGTAAGCAACATAAAGAGCCTTGGCTTCTTCACTTTTTGCAATTATTCCTTTGCACAAATTACCAGATCCATCGCATTCTACCTCATATGATCGAGAAAATGAGATATCGGGACGAACATTTCTAAGGCACGCGGTAACATTACTGTCACGAACTGCAGTGGAAATCGCGAAAAGAGATCTTCCGAGAGCATCTGTGTACCGCTTTCCAGCACTTGGTTTGTACTGAAGATTAAAAAGTTCGGTTCAAAATGACCAAGAATAGAACTTACTGGAGTTGGACATTTAAAAGGATCCTTTTGGATAACTGGTTTTCCAATTGGACAGGAAATAGGTCCTCCGCACGATTGAGTTTCTAGACACCATCTACAGTCTTCTTTAAATCCAAGGATATGAATATAGCTTTCGGCGCAGGTATTGCAATCTTTGATGTCCTTGCATACTAATACATTGCCAGCTTCAGTCATCGTGAGAAGACTAAAGGCGACCAGAGCCAGAACCTCCCGATTCCTCATTGTTTAAGATGAGTATCGAGTGTTTGGTAATTTAGAGAATCAAACAGAAAATCGAAAATTCGAAGAGTGGGAGATTCGACAATCCGAGAGAGAAACAGGAGGCAAAGAAACTGGGTTGTTGGCCTAGTTCGAAGGGATGCGCGGGAAGCGGTGAAAGAGAAAATGATCATCACCTATATCATTTCGTGAAGGAGAATCCTTTCGCCTTCAGGATGTTCGAAACATCGCCGATATCTTATCATTCAAAGGATTGTAAACGGGCTATTAAACAAACAAAAGACTTGTGAACTACTAATAGTACTGAAAAAGAAAGCTTTCTAATTCGAGTTTTTTCAGGTCGGCAAAGCCACTCTCCAACGATGGAATACTGTCAATGTGTCTGTGCAATGATTCTCCAATATTCGTACTTCTTCAAAATGTGCTTCAAGATCAGGATTCTATTGAAGTGCCTGTCAATTTGGCATCGGGAAGCACGGATGGACGCAAAGTGACTCGACGAAAGTTCACTTTCAAAACGCATGGAAAGGATGATAGGTAGGCAAATGACTCGAATGAAATTCTTTTTGAAACTGAAATGGCAGCGTTCTTTCAGAAGTGCTTCGGAGCGTCGGAGTCATATCCAAATCTCAACGCCGTCGGATTTCATGCATGTAGTGCATATGGGACCGGCGCCTGCCACAGAACTTCAGAAAAATTTCATCGACTTGCAGTCGAACCACTCCCACACTTCTTCGGATAAGGTAGACTTCTGAATTCCCGAATAAATCCTTTAAAACTTTTTTTTGCAGGATTCGCTGAACAGATCTGTAAATAACGACTAACACTGCCCCCTTTTCTGCAATTATATACTTTTTTTTTCCAAAATCAAAACGATGTACATCTGGTGCTACTTTCTTAAAACATGAAGTCTTCATATCTGGTGCCCCCTTCTCCCCCAATCCCCCAATTCAACTTTGTACTTCTTGTGGTTTTTACTTCTTTTGTTTTCCTTTTTTCCTTTTACTTCTCCTCTTGAAGCAAGTATAATGTAACCAAATAACCCATTTTTATTTATTGACTGTTTCCACTTTACCCATTACACACATCCTTTATTACCGTTTTCCCATATAATTTATTTTCTTAAATATGTTTTCTCTCCTCTCTCATCTTGTCTCATTTCACATTGCTCTCTCTTTTTTTGTTTCTTTTTCCTCTCATCAACGAAACGATTTTTATATATGATTTTTTCAATAGAGAAAAAAAAATTCCTAGTTTTTCTATGCAAAACTTTTTCCCGAGATTATTAAGATATTGCTTCTAAAAGAGACATCCACTTTTCCGCCTTTTCGCTCTTCATTCTGGTGTCCGTTTTTGGTTTTTTATGTGCTTAAAGTCCCTTTGAAATCTCGCTGTGAGATAAAATCTGCAATGCTTTTCAAAATCTCAAATATTTTTCTCGATTTTCAAATTGAAGACACTTTTAGTTCTTTTAGATCCTTGACAAATGAGAAAATTAACCTGTCCTCCATATTCTTTTCTATTCTTTCTAGGCCCACTAGCTATTCTAACTCTACTCTGTCTCCTACTCATTTATAGTAAAGACGAGAGTTTTGTGTCTCTGAAAGTGAGAATGTACCATGATGAAGTTGAAAGAAGTAGGTTAGATGAGGTTGGTTTTTGCGGTTTCTATTCTAGAAATTGAATGAGCTCTTGTAGAAAAATGTGAAACTGTTGTCAGCCTTCGATTTTCGAGATGGATTCGTTACTGTATCAATTACATCTGTTGATAGAGTAGGGTGGGAACCAATAAAGATAATTTTGGAATTTTTTTTGAATTCTGATTCCAGAACACCTGCCTATTGTCATTATTTTGACAAGTCCCATCGTCCAATTCCAGATGCCTCCAGACCGATTTCTTTTTACACTGATACCACAGCTCGATGCCCGATTCACGGAAATAGCGATGCAAGATTTATTGCATTAAGCTATTCGTTCAGAAAATCTTCACAACTTGTACCTATTCTGATTAGAAGACGTCAATTCTACGAAAAGATGCACGATTTGACAGTTTGTGTTGAGTTCGAGCCGCAACCGAATTGGCTGGAGATTTCTGCTTTTATTGAGTATCATCGAAGTTTAGGTTTTTCGTTTTTCCATTTTACAACTGTAGATTTGGATGCATACAATAGAAGAATGTTTGATGATTATATTAGGTAATGGATTACTGTAGTTGTTATATCGTGCATGAGCAATACTACTTTTAGATTAGGAATCGTGAAACTAACTTCGTTGAGAAGCTCCAATCCATCGCCAAATGATTTCAAAACGATTCAAAGATCGGTGAGATTAATTATGAAAACTCTTTTTTCCAGACTTGAAAACGGATCCAAAAGGGCCCTGCCATAGTTTCTTTTCAGATCAACTGATTAACTAAACTAATAGATATGATAGAAATCGATAAGTACTACAAAATGATACTATTTGAAAAACTGTGGCTTGTCTATGAACAAAGTCATAGACGAAACGGGCCAAAAAAAAAACAGGCAGAGCCCGGTCAGGATCAGCAGTATTATGGCTTTTTACTTGATTCAGAGACAAGAAGTACCATTGTGTAGTATTCGTCGAGCGCTATCATATCTTATTTAGATGGTCCAAAAGTACTGATTCTAAATATGAGTACGGTAGGGCTCGCGAAGGACCGTCCGGTTTATAAGTATGCTACATTAGACTTCAAAATTTTCCCAAATTTGTTTCAGAATTGTCTACTTCATGCTAGATTAGATTCCCGTCTGGTTACTTTCCTCCGAATCGATGAGCGAGTTTCCGATATTCCGTTTTTCAACAAGTTGATTCCATCAAATCATATTCCAATAAATAGTCTCGTTCCAGAAAATTATGGGAAGAAAATGTTTCGGATACTAGAATTGTGACAAATGCCATCAAATGGGAGAGCAGTTTAGAGAAATATTCGAATGAATCAGCTTTCAAAGAGACTCTTCGATCGTTTAGCTACAAAAAGCATGTACAGTTCCGGAAAGTGATTGAGCCAGAAAGAATCCAGACGATGGATCAGATTTCCGAGGACTTTGTTTACAAAAAGTACAGTTTCATGAGACTTTTTTGGGGATGGGCATATTTGAAAGCAGGGCCCTGGCGGACCTCTTCTGGTCCTGCCATAGTTTCTTTTAGGCTCAACATTTTTTGACCAGCCAAATCAGATATGATAGAATTTGACGAGTACTTCAAAACTATGCTATTTAAAAACCTTTATCTTATCTATGAGCAAAGTTACAAACCATGAAGCTGTCAATCCAGTAGGGCCCTGGCGGTTATTCGGCCCGTGTAAATTTGTTCACATACAAGTTCTAGCATGTGTAATGTTTTTAGGTTCAAAAATATCGATTCTAAAATGAACTATAGCAGGGCCTGGTTTCAAGTCTCTTTTTTAGAGCATCAACTCATTCTGCATCGATCCCTGAATCTGTGTTTTCTTCTGTAATCTCTCGAGTCAAGTACAACTACGACACCAGACCAATTTATTGTGACGAATTCGATATTACTGTACTATCATGGTGTCCTGTTAACTTATACCACTGCCGTTTCCGAGATGAAGAGGATAAGAAGATTATAATGGAGAAAAGAGAGGAAGCCAGGAAAGTGAGATATAAGCAGGAGACAATCAGATGGTGATATTGTATTATTCTTTTTTATGTTTTCTTTTCATTAAGTATATAAAAATCTCCTTTTTTCATACAATAAAGAAAAATATGGGGGAAAATGAAGAAGAAAAGATCACTCAGAAAATCGGCAGCAAAAGTCGATAATCCTCTCGAAAATGAGGGCAATTGCACTCGTTTCGAATGTCCATTTTGAGCCGATTTGCCGGCCGTCTACAGACTGGTACGAGGGTATTCAACTAGTTCAAAGTATAACTACGTAGAATTCTAACGATTTGAAATTTGAATGTTTCATAGTCCAATTGCAGCATTACTAATGCAGTTTTTGTAGCGTTTCAAAGTTTGGTTGCAATGATGCGCACATGATGACCATGTGCACCTGTTGATTGACAGTGACCATGGAGAGAATTCTAAAAAGTAAATTGAGTTGATTTGAATTCTGAAGTTAAATCATTTCATTCACTGTAAACGTTCCCAAATTCAACGTCTATAATCTAAAAAATTACAAATTCTCATTGCCTAGTTAAGATCTTCGAAACAATTTAGACCTCATCCTCTCTCCGTCTTGTTTTCATCGTTATTCTCTCGGTGAGGTTACCTATTTCCCTAATCACAATGATCTATAGTGTGCGGGGACACAAAATTTTTGCGCTGCGGAAGCAAAGAAGTCGACTCGGGACGGATTAGAATCTTTGAAGGAATAAACATTGGTCGATCCCAGAAGATATCCATTTGAAATAAAATACGAAAATGTGATATCCGTATTTTCAGAAAGTCGTGTTAGAATTCTGTTGCATACGGAACCATTGAATCAGACATTTAATCCGATAAATTAACTGCCTCTAAAACTACTGGAGCGAAGATACAAAACCTCTATTTTACTGCTTGATACGACGATCTCTAAAAACATGAACAATTTTCAAAAAAAAAAAGATAAAACAAGACTCATCAAAAAATTTTTGACACGCTAATGGCACAGGAAGGCGCAGGATTTCCGTCTATATGCCACGCACCTCGTTCAGAGTGCCCTTGGTCCACCGGCAGGATCACTGCGTTGCCTGTGCCCCAAGTAGGAGAACATGTGCTGAAAATAATCCCCAGATTCTAGACCCCTGGTTGTACACATAGTTATGTCCGACAGAGAATTCGTCATCCGAAGAACCCAAGTGGACATAAAAACTCTCACCAGACTAAATTCAAATAGTCAAAGAAACCGTTTAGATCTACATATCTTTTGTTTTCAACTCTTATCTTCAAATGTATCCCGTCATTTCCTGAATCCTTTAACGAATTCAAGCTTTCTCGGGCACACCAACACACGCACTAATCTTACATTGTATGCATTTTGCACCGTCACATCTCCTAGAAAAATCGCACAAGGAAATTCAGGATCTGATTTAAATGCGATATGTTCCTTTTTAGACAATATGCCTCAAGCTACACACGGAGATGAAAGGAAATCGTATTCTATTTAGAAAAATGAGTACAAAAAACCGTATTTTCAGATATGTCCGTCGTTTTAGAGTTATGTTGCAAATGGAACTACTGAATCAGACATTTGAAGTGAATCAGATAAACCAACGGACTCTAAAATTATCGGAGCGGAAATACACAACCTTTATTTTACTGCTTTATATGACTATCTTTAAGAACCTAAACCATTCTCGAAAAAAAGACATCTCATTGGCAGCAAATTTTTGGCACCCTAGGACACGAAAAGCACTGAATCCCGTTCATGTGCTATGTGCTCCCGTTCAGAGCGCCTTCGGAACACGTTGCCGGTGTCCCAACTTGGAGCACATGAGCCAAAAACAATACAGAGTTTGAACCCCTGTACTTACGCATAGTTATGTTGGACAGAGAATTGGCAAATAATTCGGAGGGTACAACAATTTTGGGGTCATTGAGGTACAAAGCATTTTAGGGGTACAGAATCATCAATTCGGGGGTACAAAACACAG